TTTTAAAACCTAATTTTGTTTTTCTTTTTTCTTTTTTTTTTTAAGAAAAAAATCTATCACCTTTTCAGATGAAAAACCTGCCATTTTCATGCAATGTGTAGTAACAAAGACGAACATCTTTGATTGCAAGATCTTCTCCTTTAATTTCTCCCTGATTATTCTGAATCTTTGATCTTCTTACTTTAATCATACAATCCCTCAAACCCTATTTTAGGAATCCTAATTTGCTCATTTACATCTCTGCATTCCTTTCTCCCTGATTAATTAGCTTAATTTTCTGTCCTCTGAAAGCCAGACATGGAAGACGATGCATCAAGCATGGTTTCAAATACCAAGACGAACGGACCATCGGAAACTTCTTCCGGTACCAGCAACTACGTCTTATCTCGCCCCAACAAGCGCGGCAGATATGAAAACGGGGTCGCATTAGGGCGGTTCAAGGGGGTGGTGCCGCATAACAACGGCCGTTGGGGTGCGCAGATTTACGCCAATCACCAGAGGATTTGGTTGGGGACGTTCAGTTCGGCTAAGGAAGCTGCCATGGCCTACGACAGCGCTGCCATCATGCTCCGAAGTGGAGATTCCCCCCGCAATTTTCCTTGGACGGAAGAGAGCTTCAATGAGCTTGATTTCCAAAACCTCTACTCTGTTGATGCCATCCTGGGCATGATCCGGGACGGATCATATCAGTCAAGGTTTCTGGATTTTCTCAAAAGTGCAGAAAGAAAAGAAATTACCAGTGAACCACGTAGCATTAGAAATTTTCCATGCACCCTACTTTTCCAGAAGGAGCTGACCCCGAGCGACGTGGGGAAGCTTAACAGACTTGTGATTCCCAAGAAATATGCAGTGAAGTACTTTACTTGTATTGAAAACGAGGAACCGTTGGTGCACTGTGGTGGGATTGAGGATGTGGAACTTGTTTTCTACGACAGGGGGATGAAGGTGTGGAAATTCCGGTACTGTTACTGGAGAAGTAGTCAGAGCTTCGTGTTGACGAGGGGGTGGAATAAGTTTGTGAAGGAGAAGAACTTGAGGCACAGAGATGTCATTGCATTTTACTCGTGTAGGAGTAAAGATGGCCAGAGTTACATCCTGATTGACGTGAACAGGGAAAGTTCGATGAATGAAAATAAAATTGTGGTATTGGAATCTTCTGTTGAGGAGGATGTAAATGTGGAGCTCGACCTGAAGTTAGGGACGAATTTCAGCTCCACAATGGACTTTGATAATGAGGATGACAAGAGGCAAGTCAAGTTGCCATATAATGTGGAAAAGAAAGAGGTTAGGCTTTTTGGTGTGCAAATAATAGTTGATTAGTTTTTTTTTTTTTTTCTTTAAGTTAATTTTCTCTTTTTCTTTTATAGTGTGTTTGGTTTGATAGAAGGGAAATGAAAATGAAAGGATGGATGAATTTTTTATTAATTAGATTATAATATTTAAAAATATTATAATTTAATTAGTTAAGAAACTTATTCCTCCTCTTCCCTCTTCTTAAACCAAACACACTATTACAAATTTTAGGTGTCTACTTACTTTTTATCTAAGTTAGACATTAATTTGCCCAAAAATGAGCCAAACTCATGTCTAATGTTTAGATGTTTCCATTTGGATTTTAATTGTGTCAAGAGTATTTGATATGACTTATATTGGAAGTTTGCAATCAATATGAATATCGCTGATTTACTATAATCTCAAATCCATATTTTGCATGTGATTTTGAAGTGGATATAGTGCTAGATCTTTAATGCACCAAGTCAAGAAGTACATGTTCAGAAAGAGATTAATTTCGAATTTTTTCATGCCCCTGACCGTCCAAAGTGGTTAAATCTTTTGAATGAGATGTGAATTAAAATCATTAAATGGATGGAAATAAGTAAAAAGTTAATTTGTCGACTGAATGGTACAGCTAGGATCCAACGTGGGCTCCTTATGAAATATAGAAGTTATGTGGAGTTTGTGGAGTTAGTTTACACATTAAAATTGATGAACAAGCTTCTGTTTTTTATGATGACTGACTTGACTATGCTAGATTTAGTGGATTGATTAAGAAAAGCATTGCGATTTGGGGTGATAAACAATGGTACATTCGGTTTATTTGCACCAGTCTTTCAAAGAGCATATCCTGAACCTACTGCTATTATCTAACTAAAAGTATCTTTACAACTGTAACTATAGTTTTTTTAATTGAAATTACTGTATAATACTATAACTATATTGATGATTGTTGGAAAATTTAAGAACTAAAGTCTTATTTATTATGAATGGAAAACTGATAATGAAAGCATCTAGTGCTATTGCATGTAAGCATTAAGGAAAAGTTTAAGAAAAGTAGTAGTGTATATAGCTAATTAATAAGAGAAGGTAGGAAGATTGATAAGGAGAGCTCAAATACACAATATGCACCGTGCATACTACAACGTTGACTTATCAATTCAAATCCTAAAATATGCTGTCTCCCACTATCTTTCTAAGGAAGAACTTTTCTTCGTCTTCCACTTTATTTTTCTGATCATTCATCAATTTATCTTTTTATTTCCAACATTCTGCAGCTATTTTTTTTCGCCTTTTAATTATATATGATCAACCAACTCCTAAATTGATTTAATCTGATCACTTGTATGTATTGAAGCTCTTTAGGGTTGGAATTGATTTCAATATGTTATTATAATAGTTGTATTACATTAAATCTCTTGTTGTCTATTTCAATGTTTAAATTTAAAATATATAATATAAAAACTTTGTACTTGAAATCCGTGAAGTTAGAATGTGAACCATGCTTATGATTTATAAAAGTTATTTTGTGTATGAGAAGATAAAAGGATTGACTACAAGGAGATTCTCATGTGAAACATTCATTTTTTGTTCATTTGAAGAGACAGAGGAAAACATTGTGCAATGGTGGGTGAGACTATGTTAAAATATTAATTGCATGGCACCTTTCTGTGGCAGACTTTTAACGACTCGATTTGCCCACCACCGCAATTCCCCTTTGAGGATACGCTTACCATTATTCCACCGACAATTCCCCACAGTCCCTCTATGGGGCCTAAATCTGTGAAAATGGATCCTCAATAGAAATATGCATGTAGGCCCCTGAGCACAACATGAATATTTTTTTTTTTGATCAGCAAAGTGAATTATTTTATAAAAGATAAATGGAGTATAAGAGATACTCCTGCCTTTTTACAAAAAAAAGAAAACAATACTCCCTGCACAAATAAAAAGACACTGCAGGAGCACAAAAATAATGAAGACCCCGAAAGAACAAGAATAATCAGCAAAGAACACACTTCAACTAAACTGAAGTCATTTCTGTTGCTGATTAAACATCTTCAGGGATTTCTTGTATCGCTTCAACTCCCTTGCACACTCCAACGGGTTGCTTTGCCACTGAACCAACGAAAAAACACATCCAGCCACCTTATTTCTTACCCAAAAGTGAGTTTTAACTTGAATTAACTCCAAAATTTGCTCCCTAATATCCTCCTCCCTCCGAAATACCAAGACATTTCTCCTATACCACAAATACCAAGACATTTCTCCTATACCACAAATACCAAGCAGTAACAAGAAAAATATAAGCTCCCATCTCCTTGCCTACCAAACTACCTAGCCCGTAGATGAAAGTCTCTGCCACACCCTTCACTGTATCCGGCATCACCAGCTCCATACCCCACCACTTAATCATCTTAGCCCAAACTACCCATGCTTCCATGCACGGGCAAAATAAGTGATCCACCTCCTCCACCCCCTTCTTGCATAATCCACACATCATATTATCCCCCTGTAAGGTCACTCCTCATTTCTGTAAATTCCTTCTTGTTGGGAGTCTATCTAAGCATAATCTCCACCCAAAAATACTCACTTTAGAAGGCACCAACCTGCACCATATCAATTTACACAATTGGCTGTCCAACAAGCATTCCACAGGAGCTAAAAAATCATAAGCTTTCTTTACTATATATCTACCCTCCACTTCCAATAGTCACCTACATATTTCCTAAGCTGAATAATACCCAATACCCTCCACAACTCCTTTTCCTCATCTTGCTCCCGACCCATCCTTTTTCTTCGCCACCCTATTTCCCATCTCCAACTATCCCCTTCCCAAAACCCGTACTCCTGGACCATACCCTCCTTGTTTGTGGCTAATTGAAAAAGTCGTGGGAATGAGTCTCTTAAAGGATTATTCCCCACCCAGATTTGTCTCCAAAAACCCACCCTGCTTCCATCTCCTACCTCCCATTTAAACCCCTTCACCAGCATAGTTTTTAATCTATTGGATTTTCCACCTATTCTAAGAATGTCCCCCCAAATCTTTGACACTCGCAGCTTCTCCACATCTGTAATATTGACCTCCTGCCCACCTCCATAATATTTCTCTATCACTACCCGTTTCCATAACCCCTCCTTTCCATCCCCTAGCCTATACCACCATTTTCCTAACAAAGCCTAATTTCTACGGAGTAAATCAGGAACTCCTAGACCTCCATTCACCTTGCTACCACATATATCCTCCCATTTCACCCATGATATCTTCCTCTTCTCATCATTCCCCCCATCCCCACCACCCCACAAAAAGACCCTTTGAATTTTAACTAATTGAGCATTCACAAAACTTGGCATCAAAAATAAAGACATAAAGCACAACATGAATATTAATTTAATTTGAAATCAATTTAATAATAGATGATGTAGTTTTTTTTTTTTTTAGTGATTAGGATATTTTTAGACCAATTTACATGCATATACCTTGAGATTAATTAATTAATAATAGATGATATAGAAGTTTATATCATATTTAAGTAGGAATTCATGTAATACAGTTCAGATTGTACATTTAAAGTGCAATTTGTTGTATAAATTTACTAAAATATTTTTAATAAAATAACATAAGAAATGATCTTTTAAAAATATTTTAATAAATTTATAAAGCAAACTACACTTTTAATATATAATCTATTTTGTAAAATAAGTTTTTGATTTAAATACACACATGTTATCTTAATTATATATAAAACTGTTGTAATAACAAATTTTTTTTTTAAAACTCTTAATTAAATATTCATTGGATTTTAAAAAAATCTTCAATAAATACCCTTGGACTTTTAAAAATCCTTAATAAATATCCAATGAACTTAAAATTTTCAAATAAATACCCAATAAACTTTTTAAAAAATCCTTAATAAATTCTCAACAGGCTTAAAAAAAATCCTCAATAAATATTCAACACTTAAAAAATACAATTCAATCCTAGGAATTAATTAATTAGGAAATAAATCTAAAATAATATGCTGTGTGTATAAATATTATAAATAAATAAATAATAAGAGTGTAGGTCCATAATTATAATATTTATACATTAGGGTTTATCTTCAAAAACTCAAAATCAAGGTCAATTAGGGTTTTAGTTGTAGAATTCACTTGCAGATTGCTTAATTAATTTATATAATTAAAATATTTATAAACCTTGTAAACCTTAATTAATATATATTAGGGTGTAAGTCCATTAGGGTTTTTCGCTGCCCTGTAATAGTCACCCCATCTCACACTAATTAATATTAGGGTGTGGCACATATTTAATTTATTACACATTTTTTGGACCCACACTTAATAATTATAAAATAACAACTATTCATATTTAATTTTGAATGAAATTGAGTCTCTTATTCTTCGAGAATTGAAATTTCCTATGCCACACTAGTAATATATATATATATATATATATATAT